CTGTACTTACTGTTAGTTTTAACTTTATCTTCTTAAGGTTTGCTTCGATTTGTTCTAGAGTAAGAGGCTTTTCTTTGTTCATTTTTATAACTCCGATGTCTCGCAAACTACAGATACCATCAATAGCTTCGTCAAACTAATAAAATTCAGTTAGTCCATTTGTGATCAAAAATCTTAAATACTATTATTATTTTATGCTTATAGTCAGTGAGTCACAGGCCAAGCTATCACCCTCGTAAGGCCTCACGTTGACGATATCTTTTGTGTGATTATACTCTCACAACATGTAGACGAACATAGTAAAACAGTTTAAACATCCTCCTCATGTTCGCAAGAGTAAATCCTATACACAGGCTAAATAGGATGGATAAACTGATATGTTTGCTATTCTGGCAAAACCAATCTGCGACATTCATTATTCATCATTTCAACAAGATACCCTAGTTTACTTCAAAAATTACCTGAAGTGGTATTCCAAGGAGTTTTTGTTGCTGAGCCGAATTCTGAACATATAAATTTTTTGCTGACAAAATCGCTTGATGAACAACTCCTCTCAACTCTTATTTCAGAATCCATGGGTCTTCCTCTATTTCCTGATAAATAACCGAGGTGGCAGTAATGTATTCTTGCTTAGCAGTTACTAAAAAATTGTAAATTTTCGAATATAGTTCAGAAGACATAGTTTAGTGTTGTTAATATAGAATAAGTGACTCGAACAAAATATTTCATATACTGCCCTCTTAAACATTTTCGCATATTTCAGATTCGTAAATCTTCAGCTTAGGGTTATGGGTAGGTCAAAGACAAAAATAGATGATCACAAAGAAATAGCATGCATTATGAGGTAATTAGTTGTTGAAATAAAAATAAATCATGCATGATCGACTGTGATACAGCAATACTTTATTAAATGCTTTATTTATTAATATATACTAAAATTTATTTCAGAGTTCACAATGTCACGTAAATAGCGCAGTAAATGCTATTTCACAAACTTGACCAATATATGGTCGATATCATCCTGGCTTAATTTTGATATAGATGATACTAAGAAAGATTTTATCCTTTGAATCTTATACTAATCTATTTCATTAAATAGATCATAAATCTTTAGAGCCCATTCTTTTTTCTTCTGAAGTAAGTCATCACTAACTGAGTCTGGAAGTTGTTTTTGAACTTCTTTATTTACCAATACCTGAGCCGTTCTTAAGATTATTTTTCTTGTAGTAATCATAATGATCCTTAAGTGCTTTTCCGAAATTATAATATGATTTGATGACTTCTCGTTTTACAATCTCCTTCTGCCCTTCTATATCAATAATTATATTGTACAGATTAAAGAAATTCCTAGTTCTCTTTTCCGTAATCTCGAAATCCTAAGATGTTTCAGAGGGGCCCCTTTGGAATCAGATAATTTTTTGATAAGTTTTTTTAGCATATCTGATATTTTTTCTTGCCAGTCTTTTTCGTTCTCTTGCTAGACGATTTTTCAGTTGATTCACTTGAATCATTAGGTCATTTTTTCTGCATATCACTCAGTTCCAGAGTTTCCAAATCATCAGTTATTAGATGGATTGTCATTACAATCATAATGCACAGCACAGCATGTTTATAGGATAAATATACAGTATTTTTTGGGAAATCTAGGGTGATTTTTTTCAGCACATTTGACACATATTAAATGACTTTTAGTTTGTTGAAATAGAGCATTCTCAATACCCTCCATTGGATCTTCCAGTATTGTTAGTGAAGTTAGAAAAAACTTTTTACCCATAAAATTAGATAAGGCTGAAATTCCACTTGATTAAGATGATGGTGAATCATTCACTTTGCTTGTAGTAAATTTGGATCCATAATATCAACATTCTTTTCACAATCGAAAAATGAACATCTATTTAGTTTGATAAGTAAAAGCTTCTTCTCAATGCAGAGTCTACGAAACACATGTCCGCAAGAGAGTGGAGTAAAGGCATTGAAAGGGCGTGTTAAAATGTTATTACATATTTAGAATATGACTCAAGTTCCAGAATTTCTTTATCTCTTACAAGGTTATTATCGATATTTTCTAGGATATTGTATTCCAGGTTTCTATATCTAATGAGTGAAGGATGCTCAGGTGAGGAAGTATTGCTTTTTCTTTAGGCGTCTTAAGCGTTCTGAAATCAGCTTATTATTTTATTCAGAATCTGTCATACTGATTCTTTTTCTTTCTGGACAATGGAATTCGAAAAAGATACTAACCTATTTTATATAGCGTGAATAAATGTCCTAGAAAAAGAGATTCCTTCAGATCATCATTAGCAATTACGCACTGTATTTTATCATTTATTAATTTCTTGTTAATTAATAAAAATGACAAAGATTAACATGTATATGATGATTGTCAGAAAAATATCCATACTTGAATATTGTTTTATTAATATGATAATAGTATAGCCAGAGACATGTTAGTCATTACATGCAAAATAAATGCCTTTTTTTTCTTCCTCCAGTTATTACTATTCGAAAAAAAAAAATCTATCAAACGATTACTATTCTGGATTGGAATTTATTTCTGAATTTCAGCTAACATGGAATCCATTTCTATTGTCAGAGACTTTTGAGGATCAGGTTGATACACAGGCAAAGAAGTCTGTGTTTGGGATTTTGAATTGTCACTTGCCTCAGGAACAGATTCAGATTCATGGTCAGATTCAGGACTATTGTTTTTTGACTCAGTATCACCCATAGTTAAGGTTGCTTATCTAAACTCATTTTGGATTTAGCTAAACATCTAAACCTTTAGTTTCGCTAAATTTTTACTAAGTGTTTAATATAGTTTTGCTATTTTTATAAGCTTTAATATAGTTTTACCTTTTTCTGAATTTTACAGATTTTTTAATAAGGTTTTAATATAATTTAACCAAGTTTTACTTTTACCATTTAGACGTTTGTCTAAACTCTAGATTTTATCTAGCAACCTTATCTATAGCATAATTATCTCCTATATCAAGATGGTTTGATTCTTGTCTCATTGTAATTTTTGAAAGCAATTTAAGATATTGAAGAGTTGGTTTCTTATCACCATGAATTTTGGATACGTGTTTAACCCCATAATCTCTTAATTTTTTAGGTATGATTTTATAAGGTTCTTGTTTTAAGAATTCATTAAATGACCAAGCATTACGTGTTCCACTTTCAGTAAAGACAGAATCAGATATCTTTTTAGCCTTAATTGCATTTTGAATCCAGGTGAGTAATTCCCTAGTACATTCTGAATTCTTCTCCATAATAAAAAATGGTTGAGGCTCAGGATTTTCCTTCTTTTCTTCTTTACTCTTTAGATAGCCTGTGCAGTATCAAGAATAGTCTTTTATTTTTATATACTATGCTGAAATATTAGAAGGATCCAGTTCATGGTGATTAATTTGAAGAGATCTTACTTCTCCTGGTCTTATACTCAATATCACTATCACATCTGCAAGATCCTCTTTAGTAGAAATTTTGGAAACATCCATATTCTGGATCCTTTTACTTACATTTGCTAAAAAAAATATATGGGAATTCTATCTGGATTAGCCATTCGTTTCTTAGTTCACTTTTTCTGAATTTCATTAGACTCTTGAATACGTTTTGATCTTTAGCAAAGGTATTAATAATTGCAGGATCTACTTCACCTTCTGTTAACTTCACACAGAATTTCGATTAACATGAGACGTTAGCAACAATTTCATTTTCATTATTACTCTTTAGATCCAAGCGTCAATAATTAGCAACAATATCTATAAAATCACCAGTCTTAGCACAATATTTTGCCTTTTCTTTATGGTGAGATTCACTTTCTCTTATCTGATAAGAGAGCCTCTATCTGCTCTTTACTAAATGAGCGTATATTATCAGTACCTCTGGTAAGTGTAATCTTAACACATCTGTAGGCTATTCAATCAGAAAGTAAAGTATCAAGTTCAGAAGTATGTTCACTTAATTGTTCTAGAGTTGAATCAGCTGACAAATTATACTTTTTTAGGAATTGATTTAAGATGCTGACATAATTATTAGTTTTAGATTTTTGAGTCTTTGGGGTAATCGTTTGGTAGATATGTCAATACTAACTGTTATCTAGTTATATTATGTGAGAAAAAAGTTCAATTCAAAAATTTTCCTCAATCATAGATTTCAGAATACCATATAGCAAAGGATTAAAAGAAGGAAAGAATAATAATATAACTTATACAGTCCTAAATGAACTAGCTTTGACTAGCATTAAACGTGGAAGATATGTAATACATTTTTGAATATTTATAATAAAAGTGAAGATAAAGTTTTAAGAATATATCAAAATTACCTCATATAGATCGTCTAATCTGTCAATACATTAAGAGAGATAGTTCAATTTGTGGAAGAGATGCTGACGTGAATTAGAATGTTTCAGACATTTTAATGCCTGTTCTAGAACAATATACACTGTTTGTAAGAAGAAAACCTATTCTGATACTGAAATCTATAGCACATATAGTGTAATTTATGACTATGCCTGACGCGAAAGTAAAAAAACTAAAATAGAATTGATTCCTTTAGGATCATTTGATATAATTAAAACTTAGCTAAATGTTAAATAATGGGCTGAAGTATTATTTTTTCTGCTCTATAGGATAAAAGAGTTTCTGAATCTCATTATCTGTTTTTGGCTTATATAATAGAAGTTCTAGCGTACCTTTATCTCCAAAACTAAGATCTTTATATAGTCGACAATTAATTCAGTATGAATATTTCCAAACTTGCTTTTTTTTAGGTCTACACTAATTACCAGTGATTGCATTGATTGTTTTTATGGCTGATATAAGATTGGGCTTTTCTTTTGCACAAGATTTAAAACCAAAGAGTAATAAAGACTGACTTCAAATTTCTATAAATCTTTCACATGATTGAGTGAATGCTTCTAAAATAATATTACTTGAAAGAGTATGTATATCATCAATACCAATAAAGCCTAGTATATGAAAAAGTTCCCTTATAGCTTCCTAGTAATTTGCTGAATAAGATTTATGCAAGTCCTCTATCACTGATTTTTTCAGATTCATTTTAGCTTTATAGCAGGTAATTTCCCATTGTGTAATATCCTTGGCTTTTAACTCTTCCATTGCATTCTCTTCATCATAGCCATGCCTTCAAAATTGAGATAAACGTAAGAAATATTTTCAAGATTCAGGCAGGCTAAAATATTTCACGAATTTTTTATTGCAGAGATTATTCCAATCATCAATATTTACATCTTTACCACCATAAAGATTTCGCAAATAAAATGTTTAAGTACCATAGTATTTGCTATAGAATGTTCTTGGTCAAATTTAACAATTTCAGCTTCTTTAGGGCTAAGTTTCTGAGAAGTAGCAATTGCATTAAAATCCATTTCTTTAATAACTAATGCTTCAACTCTAACCTTATTACGGATTCTTTTACAGTTCCCTATAACTTCTTAGCTCTTTTCCATTTTTATTAGCTAGAAAAAAGCACCAGTACTGGTTATAAGACTACAAACTTCTCAATAAATATCTTGCAGAAAGACGTTTCTGATTTTCAACTTCAATGAATGTTATTACAGCTGGAGATTCATCGATTTTATAAGAAATAGCATTGTTATCCCATTCACAGTAACCCTTTATTGCTGTAGGCAAATTATTAGATCGAGCACTTTCAAGTTCTGCTCTAATATTTTCATAGCATGGTGGATGAAAAAGTTTATTAAAAATTTTCTGATAGAATATAGAAACAATATGACGGAGATAGTCACGAATTCAATAATGCGTTTGTGCAAGAGCTTTAACATGAACTGAAGTGGCAATGTTTATAATAGCTATAAATATATCAAAGTGGCTTGTAATCTCAAATGATATTTTCACCTCCACTGTGTGTGTAGGCTACACAGTCAAGCTTATTCCAAGTGACATTAATATTAGAAAAGTCTTTTTGTCTCTGCTTACCATCCATATTCCTATACAGTCCCTGGCAAAAAGAATGGCGGAAACGAATTTTTATGGTATGTACTAACTTTATTTTTATTGTAATTTTTTTTTATTTATTTACAA